TCCTTCAAAAACTCATTAATTATTCATGAGGTATTCAGCCAATCCCTGATTGTAATTTGTACCACGTGAAGTAACTTGAAACCAGAGGAAGTACTCGTACCTTGTATTCTACCTTATTTCCAGTTACTTCTACCTTTTTCAAGTTACTTCTACATTATTTCCAGCTATTTCTACCTTATTTCCAGTTACTTCTACCATGTTTCCAACTACTACTAGCTAATGATAATCAAATTATTAGAAATAATCAGTTTAACATTAATTTAGTGAAAAAAGGTCTTTGATACATGACTCCCTCACGACTCGATCCCCTACCGTCCAGTCTATATGCGCCGTCTTATACCATTACACCACCGAGTTTCTGATGCGATTCCTCGGAAGATAACATACTTATAAATCTTATGGATTAGGCTCATTAGGAATGCCATGAATAGCAGACAAAGACAATTTGAATAGCTTTTGTTTCAGAAAGCCTTCCGGGAATTGAAGAACAACAAACGGTGCTTCATGTATTCAAAATTATGAAAACTGAAAACCTTAGTGGAGATGCAATAAATCAATATATTTCTGTTATATGTATTTCCTTCGTTTTTTTTCCCTCCCGAATAATTAATGAGTTTTTGAAGTCGTTCAAAGGCCTCCAATTCGGACTTGACGGGATTTCAAAGTCCTTGCAATTAGTTCCAGTCCTCGGCTAGCGCCTCGGACTGGAACTAATTGCGCGGACTTTGAAACCCCGTCAAGTCCTCATTGTCGGCCTTTAAACATTACATCATAAATTCTTATAAGAATTGCATGCGCTAATTCAATTTTTTCAACACGTCCACTTACACATGCAAACTTAGCTCTTTTATTACAACTCACTAAGGAAGGTCAGAGTTCTGACCGAAACATATGCGGTTTTTCATTAAAATCTTAGGCTAGTGACAAATATTTTTATTCAGTTTTTAATGGACATGTTTTATTCCAGGATTTTCACTAACGTCACTACTACACCTGAAAGACAAACAATTTAAAGAGGCCAAATTAGCGAAATTGTATTTTATTTACTGTCTTGGAGAGAAGTAAAATCTAATTTAATTAAAGGATCGTTACAAAGTTTGAACCAAAATAATGCTTTTTAACAGACATACGAGCGATCGGAAATTGGGAAGAATGTATGGGATTATCATGGCTCAAATGCATTTTAGACWGGACGTGAAGAAATGTCCTACAAAAAGCTTTGTTTTAAGATCCAAATGAATGTCAAAGGCCCAAAACAGCATATGATACACCTTTTCCAGAGCTTTATATATCTGGAGAAATTGCCTCGATTATGTGTATGACGTCACACCATGTGAATGACGTCACAAATAACGTTGCATAATCAGAGAGATTTAGGGCTAAAATCTTGAGACCGGGAGATTCGATCTGAAACCGGGAGTCTCCCGGAAAATCCGGGAGAGTTGACATCCCTGTCTTAGTCCTCGACAGCGTGTTAAATATTCTTTTGAATTTGTAGGAATGTGAGCAATGCACACATTGATATGAATAGTCTTAATTAGCAAATTCAAAAGATTAATTAACTACCGAGGCCTAAAAGCAACTGAAAAGGTGTATTCCAAACATTTACGCAAAACTTCAAGTCAAATTGTGATTTTGTAGCAAAAATAYAAGCATTTTAATATGTTCTTACTTTAGTATATATTTTTTTATATATATATTATAACTAGCTTAGATAGGTGTCCCCAATTAGCCTTACTATTGTAAGCTAGATCAATCTGACACGTAAATAAAGTTTATTATTATTATTTATTATTATTACAAAGAAATGTTGGGAAAGCCATGACAGTGTACTAATCGTGTACACCAATATGGCGGACACCAACTCCGAGTACCGAATAAACCCTTTTAGTGATCTCTTTTACGTGGTGTTAGCCTSAAAACCATGTCATAAATTCTTTTATTCACTAACAGCCCGTGCAGGTGCAAGAAATCTGTGAGTACAGTAAAAACCCGCATATAAGAACGTCAAGTAGATTATTTTAAGTAACAATGAGCGCAAAGAGCAGGCAACTTTCTATTGTTCTGCGGCAATTGTAACTTCCCCACATACGAATGTCTTGGTCTTCACACTGATTATATATCAATCTATGGGTAACACATTTTTAAAATAAAATGTGAATAAGCTCTGTTTTGAAACAAAGTTTCTTTTGTATTAAAAGATCTTGTCCAATCATAAGTACTCAAAACAATAGCCAAAAAATGCTTCTAATTTGCTATGTTCCCCAAATAGAATTGCTATTAATATTAAAGCTAAGGAAATCTTTTATGAAACAAGTCGGAATCAGATATTAAATTAAATATTAAAAAATGCGCCTACTTTTGAAATTATKTCAAATTTTAATGTTTTAACCAATGAGATGGATGGATCATACAATACAAAATTAGCACCTTCATGCATTCCATTGCCGTTTGCTTTCCTGCTTCTTACTCGGACCATTACTTAAGAACACCCAGGCCTGATTTTAGGAAATTAACTACCATTTATATAAGAACACATTCAGGCTGTAAGGGATCGTTCAATAATTATGCCTTAGGGGGGGCTGGAAGAAAAGTAGGGGGGCTTTGAAAAATAAACAGATAATGAAGGGGGGGCTTTAATGGTATTTGCTGACTTGAAGGGGGGGCTGAAACACAATGATCATTTTAAACAACAACTTTACTTTCTTTTTTATAGAGGTCTAAGTACATAAGCATTCACTTGACTTTTTGTGACTCCTTTTAAAGTTTTTAAATCCTTAGATCACTTGAAGATATTTTCATTTTTCTTTTTTTGAAACAACTACAACAAGGTCTGTCAGATCAGCAACAAGAGTGTCAACTGTCTATGTCCATTGAAAAAGTAGTATCATGTCTATCTGTGAACGTTGTACATTTACTTATATATGGTGTTAAACTGCTGACCCATTAAGGTGAAATAAATGTATCACAGTGTAAAACTGGGGGGGGGGCTATTTTTCCTCAGTGTCAGAAGGAGGGGGGGCTTGAAAAATATTGTCATAGAGTAAGGGGGCTTTGAATTTTCCCAAGGTTTTTTTGACTTTTCCTCCAGACCACCCCCGAGGCATATTTAATGAACAGTCCCTAAAATGAAAGTTGTTCTTACATGGGAAAAAAAAAACAAAGATCAACAGTACAGTTCATTGCACACATTGATTTATCATTTTTTTTTTTAATTAGAATAGTTACATCATTGTATTAAAATTGTGTGCACATATATTGATTTCATCTTTGGTAACCTAGTATGTTCCTTATTTTAAGAAACTTTTTTTAAGAACACTTAAGAACACTTACAGGCAGATTTTGCAGATTTTAACCCTTTATATATAAGAACCAAAGTTAGCCTGAAATGCCACGTGACAATAGGTGTTCTTATACGCTGGTTTTTACTGCATACATAATGTAGAAGACAATGGAAATAGTCCTAAAGTGATATCTTTTCAGTCATTGAATCATTTTTATCTTATTTTAAAACTCCCTAATTAATGAGGACTGGGAATAATTAAATTAATCTAATTTGCAGCCATTAATTTAAAGGGTTTTGACTACTCCTTAACTTCACTTACCGTGCACCAACCAAGAATGGACCAAAAAAACTGAAATGGTACTCCAACACCCACAATAATCTTGTCTGACTGTGAAAGTTCTTGTGGATTATAAATGACCAGAACTGCTAAACTTAGCTGAAAACAAAAGTCAATGTCAAATATATTGCTAGCAGCATAWATTATAGAAAACAAACAGGATGTTGATGTTAATGTCTGTGTGTTAATAAATATATCCTAGATGACTTTGTATTTCTTCTATCATATCGGTAAAGAAGTCACTCTATTTCCTTACTTCTACATATTCAGTACTAGCAAATACCTACTGCTAGTTGGTACCTACCGCTAGTTGAAAGTCAAACTTAATCAAACAGGAAAAAATTCCAGCTTTTCTGTACATCTCTAATTAAGAAACAAAATTTGCATATAAAGGAATAATTAATTACAATAACATGTAAAGGAATGTTTTTGAAGATGGTTTATATATTGTTTCAGTGTTTTGTTTATAGATGCAGCAATTCTAAATGACTTGTTAAGACCCCGGACTGCCTAATATCAAAAGGCGGGGGTCCTCGGCGGAAATTATGAAAATGACCCCTAAGAGGGACCTGTGTTTGGAGATGATGGGCGTGGCAGTGCTGAAATTTCACCCCTAAAAGGGACCACTCAATAACAGGTCATTTTGTTTTAGTTGAATGCAGCACCTACCTTTCATAGGAAATATGACGGCTTAGGGACGTCATATACCGTAAAAGGGACCACAAAACTCAGTTCGGGGAAATTCTTGTCATTATGACCCTAAGCGGGACCAAAATACCGATTTCAAACCCTAAAAGGGGCGCCGAGGACCCCCGTCCTTTGATATTRGGGAGTCCCCCCCCGGGGTTAAGACATAGTATACCACAAAATTTTTCATGATCTGGTCTGAGATTGTAGCAATTATCAGAGCCTCATTTGAATACAAATGGTGGCATGTATATTGAAGTTATATATCAAATCCTTAGATTTCACTATTCACCCTTCAGTATAATGTCTTGATCTAAGGAGTTATTCGAAAAACTCACGACATGACATTTTAATGTATTAAAATACTCCATTTTCAATACTCCAACT